ATCTAAAGAACAGAATGAGCAAACAAAATAAATAGATACAGAGAAAAAACTGATGGTTGCTAGATTGGAGGGGGGTTGGAAGATGGGGGATGTGAAGGGATTAGAAAGTACAAAGTGATAGGCACAAAAAAGTCACAGGGATATGAAATACAGTATTGGGAATATAATCAGTAATGTTTTAAAGATTATGTACAGAGTCAGATGGGTACTGGACTTACTGGGGCTATCACTTCATAGATTGTGTAGATGCCTGACCACTGCACTGTACATCTGAAGCTGATGTAGAATAATATTGAATGTCAACTATAAATATACACAGAGGGTGCCAAAAAATATATATACACATTTTAAGGAAAAAACTATTAAAATTTTAATACTCAAAATATACCAATAACAAACGATGAATTCAAGTCATGTGTATACATTTCTTTGGCACCCTCAGGGGTGTAGCGGTGTGTGTGTGTGTGTGTGTGTGTGTGTGTGTGTGTGTGTGTGTGTGTACTCACGGGATGTAAAGTACAGCACAGGGAATGTAGTCAATAGTATTGTAATAGCTATGTACAATGTCAAGGGGGAGTAGACTTGGGGGGTTTATCACTTTCTGAGGGGTGTAAATGTCCAATTATTATGTTGCTTTGTATACCTGAAACAAAAAATAAAATTAAGTTAAAAAAATAGAAAGCATGGAGCAGCCGGTTAGCTCAGTTGGTTTGAGCACAGTGCTCATGAAGGTTGCCAGTTCAATCCCCACATGGGCTGCTGAGATGCACCCTACACAACTAGATTGAAACAACTACTTGACTTGGAGCTGATGGGTCCTAGAAAAACACACTGTTCCCCAATAAAAAATAAATAAATAAATAAATAAATATAAATTTTAAAAAAACAGAAAGCAAAAAAAATAATAATAATGTTGTAAAGACATGTAGAATGTGAGATGGGTACTAGACTTATGGGGGGATCATTTTATAGATTATATAAATGCCTTACCACTGCACTGTACACCTGAAACTAATATAAAATATTGTATGCCAACTATTGTAAATAAATATGTATACATGAACACACACACACACATATACACATATATATAGTCACGGGATATAAAGTACAGCATAAAGAATATAGTCAGTGGTATTCACTATGTACAATGTCAAATGGATAGTAGACTTGGTGAGGTTATCACTTTGTGAGGCGTGTAAATCTCTGACCATTATGTTGTTTTGTGTACCTGAAACTAATAAAAATAAAATTACAAATGAAAAACAGAGTACAGCTCCAGCACCTAGAACAATACATATGGTAGGCAAGTAAATGTTCATGGAAAGGCAGACTAGAGAAGATATTAGCAACTGACATTACAAAGGACTAATTTCCCTAATATAAGTGAAGTTCCTACAAATCAATAAGAAAAAGACAAACAATCCAATAGAAAATGGGTGACGAATATGTAGAGACAAGTTAAAATTTCATGTTTCAGTGATCAGATTGACAAAAATAAAAAAATCCCGTATTACACTATGTTGGTAAAAGGTATGAAGAAGCAGGTATTCTGATACATTGCCAGTCAGAATAAAATTCATACACTATCTACGGAAGATAATTTGGCAAGATTTATGAGAATTATATATGCAACCCCTTCACACCCATGACGATGGCTATAATTTTTTTTAAAAAATGAAAAATAAGTATTGGGGAAGATGCAAAGACACTGGAACCCTCATAAATTCCTTGTAGGAATGTAACATGGTACAGCAACTATGGATAGCAGTTTGCCATTCCTCAAAAAGCTCAACATAGGGATTACCAGTTAGCTCAGTTGGTTAGAGCATGGTGCTGATTACACCAAGGTTGCCGGTTCGATCCCACATGGGCCAATGTGAGCTGCACCCACCCTAAGAGTCAAGTATGCCATTGTAGCATGAAAGTAATGTGTAATCAATGGCCACGGCTGTTCCCCCAATAAAATTTTTTTTTAAAAAGTTCAACATAGTATTATTGCTTTATGACTCGGCAATTCCACTCCTACGTATATACAAAAAAGAACTGAAAATAGGTACCCAAACAAATTCTTATACACAAGTATTTATACCTGCACTATTCACAGTAGCCAAATGGTAGATACAACCCAAATGTCCCTCAATGGATGCATGGATAAACAAATTGTGGTATTTACATGGTGGAATACTACTCAGCCATAAAATGGAATGAAGTACTCATATGTACAAAACGGATGAACCATGAAAACATTATGCTAAGTGAAAGAAGCCAGACACAGAAAGCTACATATTATATGACTGTATTTACATGAAATATCAAGAACAGTTAAATCCATAGAAATGAAATGCAGATTGGTGGTTGCCAGGGGCAGGAGAGGGAAATGGGCAGTAAGTGCTTATTGGGTAGTTGTATTTTGGAGTAATGGAAATGCTTTAAAATTAGACAGAGGTGGTGATTAAACATTATGATGTACTGAATGCCCCTGAACTGCTTACTTTAAAATGGTGAATTTTACATTATGTGACTTTCACTTCAATTTTGAAAATATATATGCACACACCCATTGGCCCAGAAATTCTACTTCTAAGAATCAATTCCCCCCCTAACCCCCGCTAAAAATAAGAATCCTACAGATAGAATCATATGTGTTCTGAAAGGACATAAGGACACGTAGAAGATCATTAACTATACCATTATTCTTAGAACAAAAGATTATAAACAAACTAAATGTCTATTAGTAAGGGGGTAGGTTCAATAAATTTTTAAATCTATAAAAAAGGAATGAGGATCTTTACACTTTTTGGAAAGTGTCAACTGGCCAAAATTAACTCTCCAAGAAATCCACCAAAAGAATGGTTTATTCGGGAAAAGAAAAAACACAAAAACCACCACAGCAGTGCGGGAACAGACACCTCCAACCTGGGTGCCAGCCAGCTGCCCACATGAAGAGCCCCAGTTCCAAGATGGCTATTCTATTTATTAGCATCCCTCCCCACCGAAGTTACCACACAGTTTAACAGAAAGTCAGGACTACAGAGTTAACAAGGGGCCCAGCTCCACCCATAGTCCTCCCAGCTCTATGGTTCAACATCTTAAGATGCCAGTTCACTTTTATCAAAAGAATGTCTAAGATACATTGTTTAGTATAAAAGGCAAGTTGCAAAATAACAGTTGTGAATTACAGTTAGTACAAAAACAAAGAGAAGAATATATAGACACTTAGTTGCTTATGTATGCATCAAATATCTCTGGAAGGCTACAAAGAAATCAGCAATACCGGGAAGTAGTTGGGAGGACGGAAGTTGGATGAAGGCCTTGCACCTCTTTTGAATTTTGTACCTAATGTAAATATGACCTCTTCAAAAAGTCAAATTAATCACTTAAAAAGAGTTTGTAGTCTAGTGGGGAGACAAACATGAAAACAACAATGCAAGTAGACTGTCCAAGGGAAGCATAGATGCAGGGCCTAGGCAACTCTGGCTAGGGCTATCAAGTAGGCTTCTTGGAGGAGGCGAGACAGGAAGGATAGATTGAACTGCTCCTTGGAAGGCAATATGGCTGTATCCATTACAAAGTAAAGCCATGCCTACTCTATGACCCAGGAATTTGACTCAAGCTCTACCCTGGAGATACACTCGATCAAGGAGACAACTACAATGACGTTCACTGCAGTCTTGCTTACAGGAACAAAATCTGGAAACAACCTAAGCATCAATTAATAGGGGAAGAATAAATGAACTATGGTATTTCCATTAGAAACTAGGAACTTTGGGGCAGTTGAGGAAAAGGGCATGGAAAGTTCATCAGGACACTAACTGTCCAGGGATGGTGGGCAGAGAATGCAAGGGACAGCCTCCCATGGGAAACCAGCTCTGTCTGACCTTTGCTCATTAGGAAACCTCTGACAGATGTGCAGAGGAGGGCAAGGAGAACAAGGTAGGTGGCAAGGGGACCAGCTCTCAGTGAGGCAATTAGGGGTATGAACCAAGGGAAGGATGGGCCCCTCCTCCTAGTAAGAAGAGGACGCAGGTGAAATGGTGTGGGGGGAAAACGAACAGATATATTACTTTTAGCAAGAGAATTGAAAGTTTAGGTTAAGTTCTTTTCTTTACCAGGATTCTAGACCTCTTTGAAATTCAAACTCACTGTCCTCCCTCTTAAAGGAGCCTATATCACTGAAAAAATTAAGGCTATCTAGGAAATTAACCCATCTCTCCCTTTGATCCCATTCAATCCCAATCTTTGGCCTATCTTCCTCACCTTTGTTTTAACACTTCCCCATTGTACAGATGAGGACTGAGGCTCAGAGAAGTAGCATCATTTGCCTGAGAACACTAAGCTACAAATAGCGAGGACTTGAACCTGTATCTCTCTGACTGCAGCACCCTCACCCTTTCCCCACTCCCCCAACTACTACTCTCTCACCCTTATTTTCTTCCCAGTCAAGCATTTTTAATCTCTCTCTACCAGCTTTTCTCACACTCATTTCATACAGTAACAAGCCTCCCTTGGGCTCCACAGTCCCCTTTGGGTGCTAACTAATTTCATTACCTTTCCTACCCCACTCACTTCATTCACAATGACAGGTTAAGAACATAAAGTCTGAAAGTCGTATGTTTGAATCCTGCCTCTCCCAACTCCTGGCTGTAAGACTGTATACAGAGAAGTCAATCAATTTCTCTCTAAGCCTCAGTTTGCCCTTCTGTAAAATGGCGATAAGAATACTGCTACTCTCTCATAGAATTATTTTGAAATTTAAATAGGATAGTCCCAACACTCCACCCAACATCAGGCCAGCATCAGTTGAGTAGAAGCTGTCTTAGTGCAGGGAGGACGACAGGTCCTGACACAGGCTCAAGACTTGGCACAGGTGCCTGTAGTCCTGGATGGACTTGTACAGGCCCCACATGGGCAGTCTTGAGCTTTCTGCTGCAACAAATATCTGCAATTGTTTTTCTGAACACAATATTACTATTACACTATATGACAAAGGGTCTTACCAAGATTGGAGAATCCATCCTGAAGGGCCCATAATCGAGCCCAAGGGGCAGGGACGGGCTCCTCAGGTTCTTGATCTTCAGGAATAGAATACAGTTCCTGAGTGGACACCGTATCTAAGGAGCTCAGTGTTCCCGAGCTGGAGTGAGAGGACTGGCTGGACGTGGGCACTGTGCTGGTAGAGGAGCTGGACGTGCTCTGAGACTGTGAAGAGCCTTGAGTCTGTGAGGAGAGGCCTTGGGACTGCGAGAGGCCGCCTTGGGACTGCGAGAGGCCGCCCTGGGACTGCGAGCAGGCACTGCTGCCAGGGGACTGTGAGGAGGCACTGCCGTGGGGCTGCTGACACTCCACATCCGTCTCCCGAGACATCACGACCTCAAAAACAAGTGTCCAACAATAAGGTGAGTTTCAAGAAATAAGACTTAAAGTTCAAGAGTGAAAGATGGGAATATTACGATGGCAATTTAAAAAAAAATCCAGGGTAAGCATGCTCTGCAAAAATTAAAATTTTAACAGTCTAGACCAGGGGTCAGCAAACTGCAGATCGTGAGCCACATGCAGCTCTTTGGGTACGTATATGTGGCTCTGAAGTAAAACTGAAAATGAAAATAAAACTATCATAGTTTCATTTATAAAATTTTTAAAGGATATTATTAACATAATGGTGATTTCATTTGTTTTATGGCTCTCGAATAATTTTTAAATTTTTGTGAAGGACAGGATTGGCTCTTCCATCTCAAAAGTATGCCAACCTCTGGTCTAGACCCATAGGTCTTCTGGGCTGAGCTTTTTACCAGATCACTTTCACTAGGTCAATTTTTTGTCTTACAGCCACAAACCACAGGGGGGGAAACCAAAAAATTATTTAAAGGCTATAAATAAGTGAAAAGCAATAAAAATGAGTTAGGGAAAGATTCAGGGAGAGGGAAGAGATTTGTAACAGCTTAATGCACCCGATTTTTTAAAATCAGAAGGAAACCTAAAATGTATTCATTAATACAATCAACTTTACATTAAAATTTAATATATGTTTTGGAAAGAGAAAAGGGAAGGGTCTGGTGGCTTGGGGTAAAAGATGAGCAAAGAGAAACTGGTATTTGCTGCACGACTCCAAGGGGGGGATTTACATAAAAAGGTCACTACGGGCGACTGAGTGGCTCATTGATTAAGAGGTGGCTTGGGAGAGCGAGCTCTGAGCAGCAGGGCCGCCGGTTCAGATCCCACATGGGCCAGTGACACTGCGCCCTCTACAGCTAAGATGGTGAACAACAGCTCTACCTGGAGCTGGGCTGCCATAAGTCACCGGCAATGGTGTAGGTTGCAGTGGGACTGCAGTGGGCTGCCGTAAAGCTACCGTGAGTGGCCGGCAGCCGGCGTGAGCTGCTGTGAGTGGCTGTCCAATGGCCGGCGACCGATCTGCTTCACCCAGGAAGAGCGCAATGATCACAATACCAACATGGACCAGTGAAGTGACATCCTCTACAACTAGACTGAAGAACAAAAGGACAGCAACTTGTCTGTTCCCCTTCCCAGATTCCCCAACACTGTTCCCTCCCCCCACTTCCCCAATAAAATCTTTAAAAAGAAAAAACAGTTTACTGATGCCCCTCCTCCCCCAAATCAGTCCCAGGAAATTCCTTGACACCTAAGTGCTGGGCCACTTAACGAGGGAGACCGAAGACAAAGAAGGCTGCTCTAAACAACTCCACCTCGCCCTTTGTGATGCTAAGTAACTATCAGCTCACCTTTTCAGCATCCTAAATGGCCTCCCAGCCCTTCAGAATCTTACAGAAACCATTCTTTGAGCCATAGGAGACAAAAACAGAGGTTCTCACCCTTGCTTTAGAATTAACTTGATGGACAGTGAAGCTCTGATAACAGAACCTACAGCAAAGTCAAAGTACCTTTCAACCCCTAACTTTAAATCCCCAAACTGTTTTTGTTTTTTTTAAGGTACATTCTCTCCTGATCCCCACTCAGGCGACTCTTCCAGGAGAACATAGTAATGATTACTCACACTGACTGCATTTACACAACTTTCCAGATACAAAGGTCCTGATGAGTTTTCCTGAAAGCACCTCAGGAAGGTGAAGCCAGAGCTGAGTCTGCCACTCCAGCTGCTCTAATACTACCTCAGCCATGCTGACAGTCCTTCTGCAGTTTTTTTAGCAAGACTTCTCCACCCTGAAAACTGGCAAAAGACAGTGTGTCAAGAAGTAGCTATCATCGTTTATGATAAATAAGGGTCTACCAGGCCAGGACCACAGGGGCCTCAGTGTGGAGAATGTACAGTGGAGTGATTAGAGGCAAATAGCTCTGGAGTCAGATGCCTATATCAAATCTTTGCATGACCTTTAGGTAATTCAACCTGTTGGAGCCTTATCTGAATAAAGCAGATAGATCTTTCAGATTAAATGAGATGATACGTGAACGCTCCTCCTCCAGTATGCTTGATAACTGGGACAACAGAATTCCAATCCCCAAGAATCCAACAGCCGGAAAAGACCTTACAAGTGCAACACAATTTTTTTTTTTTTCAAATAGAGAAACTGAGTTCCAAAGAGGACTGGTGCCCTCCTACCCTCTGCAGGCCACCCCATTCCACACACTTATTTATGAACACTTGCAGGGCATCCTGCTACACAAATCAGTGTATTTCCAATTACTGCAGTGTCTATCCGCTGAAAGTGGATTCTCAATACATATTTTTAAGATTGAACCTAAAGTACGGTAATAATTACTCACATTTCTAGAACTCTTCACAAAGCAACTTTGCTCTGATTTTGAAGAGCACAACTTTGTTCCTTCTTATCCTGTATGTCTGGGCCAGTTACAGCTTGTAAGTAACTGAGGAAGGAACTGGAAGTTCATCTACAAAGGAAGAGTCGTCCACGCATCCCTCTCACCCCACCCCCACAACCCTCGCCGCAGCTCAAAAAAAACAGGGCAATGCGGAAGCTCGGGAGATTTAGTTCGCCTTAGCCGCCTAAGGGCGGGATTCGAACTCCCAAACACCCAGAAAAGATTCTCCACTAGGACTCACCTCGTGAGCCCACCTGGGGACGCACACTCACAGCTGCCGCCACTAGCGGAGTGGCGCTAAACGGATACAAAGTCCACCCCCAGCCAATCAAAACATTCCTCCCCCGCTGCCGGACCAATGAGGAACAGCAGATGTAGCCATCCACGCGTAGACTCACTGCTTGATGGGAGTTGTAGTTTAAAATGCAAAACGGGACTCAGAATCCAGGTTTCCCTTGGGTGATCCCGCCCCCCCAGTTCTCCAGCCAATCAGCAACACTAGTTTGGTCAGCCGCTTCTCACCTTATCCCACCACAGGTGACCGCGGCGAATCTAGGCCGCCAGCCAAATGTGGGGCGGGAGAACCCGGGCCTTGCTCCGGGTGTGGGGGTTGTGGCCGACGGGGATCCTCGGAAGGAGATCAATAAGCTGCAATGCTGCGTCACTAGCGGGAAGCAACTGCCCCCAGTGTTGGAACTGTGGCGGCCCAAGGGGCCCCATTCGTGGGGACGGGTTTTTCTGCCCGCAGTGCCGCGCGCTGCAGCCACCTGACCCCACTCGGGACCACTTCAGCCTTATGGACTGGTACGTGAGGGGGTTTCGGGAACCGCGCCGGAGCGAGAGAGAAAGGGGTTGGCGTGCGAGAGGGAAGGGCCGATCAGTTTTGGGAAGGAGAGGGAGGGGCAGTTAGATAGGTGGGCGGAGCCCTAGAGACCAGGGTCTGGGTGGGGATGGGGCGGGGGAGAATGGAGGATGAGATGTGTCGTGAGAAAGAGGAAATTGAGGGGCGGGCCCGAGGGAAGGGCTTTGAGGGATGGAGACAGTGGAGGGAGGATTGGAGGAGCGGGGCCTGAGAGAAGTTGAGGGGCGGGGGCTGAGGGAAGGGTACTTGAAGGGCCCTTAGAGAGGGGAAATTTGAGGGTTAGGATCAGCCATTAACGTTGGATTGAGACTTTTAAGAAAGGAGTGCTGACGTGTTATCGAAATAAGGGAGTAAATAAATAAATCATGGAAACACTTAATGTTGAGGGCAGAGTCTAAGGGAAAGATGAGACTTGGAGGGAGAATATCTGAGCAATCGGTGTTTTTGCCTGTTTTCCTCCCAAGGTTGAGGAGTTTGGCGAAGTAGTCAGATTTGGACAGAGCTAAACTGATGAGATAGGGCAGGCTCTGGGAATAGAAAGCAAAAGGGATTAGATTAAAATAAAGTGGGAGACAGAGATGAAGGGACTCAGGCCTTGGAAAGATAGGGTGGGATTGGGAATGCCACTTCCCCTTAACACTTATGATGGGCTGCAGTAACACTACCCTTTTAAGTTCCTCATGGGTGTGAAACTCTTCCCACCTCAGGGCCTTAGCATGTTCCCTCTGACAAGATGACTCTTTCCTCTGATCTCTGATTACTCTTCATTGTCATTCAGCTCACAGCTCAAATACCATCTCTTTGTCCACCACATCTACCACTCTCTCTGACCCTATTCTGTTTTTCTTCACTGCACCTACCACTTTGGGAAATTATCTCTGTCTGCATGTTTACTGCATATTTCCCCCATGAGAACAGGAACCAGATCCATAGTATACAAATCTGTAAATATTTAATGCATGAATTTTATCTTCCTATTTTCTTCCAGCAACCGTTCCTTCAGAGTTGACACTGTGAAGCTCCAACATAGGTATCAGCAACTACAGCGTCTTGTGCACCCAGATTTCTTCAGCCAGAGGTCTCAGGTAACCTTTTGGCCACACCTAATCATACCCACACATGTATGCATTCTGGGTGGGTGACAGTGGCCTTGTGGTTATGTGATTATCAGGGACAGCTGTTCTACCCTGTGGCAGCCAGTCCCCAGCCAGCCAGGCCCTGGACCTGTCCTGCAAAAGTAGAACCCATCAGTTAAAAATAAATGAAGCTCATCCCACACCAGTTCTACTTTGGCCACTTCCTTAGGTGCCTGCTCATCAGTATTTTATGAAACAGTTTGTGAATATAAGATTGCTGATTTGGATGGTGATAAAACTTTCTTCATATCCACTAACAGACCGAAAAGGATTTCTCAGAGAAGCATTCGACCCTGGTGAATGACGCCTATAAGACCCTTCTGGCCCCCCTGAGCAGGGGAGTATACCTTGTAAGGTGATTTCCCAACCCTTCTGCACACGACTGCCTGCTGTCCACTAGGGTACAGCTGCTCCCCTGTATTCAGCAGAGAAGTGCTTGAAGCCTGATCTAGTCCAGGGACCCAACGATATTTAGCCTCAAAGATACTACAAAAGTTTTCTCTGAATATCCTGTGTAAATCTTACTTGCCCAATTGCAGTTTTTTAAACCATTTTTTCTATAAATTTAGGGCTTGGATGGTGATGACTTTTAGGAAAGAGTAATTTGGGGCATATTTGTTTGTTTAGTGGGAGAAAGTGAACACCTTAGAATTTTAGGATGTAATAGAACCTTTACAAATATCTACTTCAGATTCTCAAGTGGAGAAATCACTCCCCAAGGGTCACACAGTTCTAACTGGCAGAAAGGGATCCTGTCAAAGGATCCCTTTCTCAGTCCAAGGTTCCTACCCTCACACTTTCATTGTTAGGATACTTCAAGTTTTCCCTACGAGTGGCATTCTGTTCATAAGGGTGAGTAGGATTGACTCTGCCCATAGGCTCTTGGTGTAAACTTATTTTCCCTGCTTTATGCCCAAATAGCTAAAGCTCCATGGTGTAGAGATTCCTGAAGGAACAGATTATGAAATGGACAGGCAATTTCTCATGGAAATAATGGATATTAATGAAAAACTTGCAGAAGCTCAAAATGAAGCTGCCATTAAAGAGATTGAATCTATTGTCAGAGGTAAAAGATAAAATATCACCAAATGTATTTTATTGCTGCTAAGAGTACATATCCGGGGATAAGTGAAAAATGAATATAAAGAATATATATTGGCCTCATAATGATTCAGGGAGTATCTTATTTTCTTGATTATACGGAAACCAATTTTGTCTGGAGGTTAGACCTGTAACATCCCTACCTCTCTAGAATGTAGTCTTAAACCAAGAACTGTTGACTTCATATCATGAGCCAATTTAAATAGAAAAATTACAGTAATGGTTTTTCTCTTTCAGCTAAACAGGAAGAATTGACTGACAATTTAAGCAGAGCTTTTGAACAAGGTATTTTCTTCATTTCTTGACTTTCTTAAATATGGAAAGAAACTAAGCACTGAGGTACAACCATGCATTCAACAAGTAACTATATATACTCATGATAGGTACATGGGGAGGTATTAAATATAGAT